AGGTTTCACTGGGTTGTATCAGTGATGAAGATGAAATATGATGGAGATGAAACGTGATGTAGGTAAATCATGATATAGGTGAGATGTGATAGATATGAAACACTGATGTAGATGAAACACATCAAGTGATGGGATCAGTTGTATAGTACAGGGTCAATGACGAATAGTTAGGAAAGGAAAAGAAAGAGACCCCCCCTGAAGCTGTAACAGGGTCGTAGATCTCCTGGTTTCTTATTGACAAAGAAGAATGGAGATGCTATAGGAGACTTTGATGGTCGGATATAACTTTTCCATAAGTTTTCCTCAATGAAGATGTCTAACTCCTTGAGCTTTGCTGGTGATAATGGGTAAACCTTTCCTCGTTGAGGTTTGAAGTTGGCTTCTAAATCAATTGCATGGTCCCAGGGTTTTCAATCTGGTAATTGTTCTACTGTGTTTTTTGTTGAATACAGAGAGGAAGGCTTTTGCGTATTCTAGGATGTTACTGGCAAGGGTCTTGATTGCTCATAGTAGTTGATCCCAACAAAAGCACATTTTCCCAGTGACCCAATCGATTACTGGGTTGAAACATTTGAACCATGAGAGACCTAAAATAATTGGATTCCTATCAAGTACTGTGGCGTAAGCTTCTATCCTCATTGGTTGTCCAGATAAGGATATAGTGAAGAAGACTTTGTGTTTGATAGCTGTGGTTTTATTTGGTGACCCATCAACATTAAACACTGGTCTGGGTGTAATACTCTGGTGCTGGAGGTTGTGATCTCCAGCAAACTGGATGTCAATGTAATTCTCCATTGCTCATGTGTCGAGCAATGCTTCGGTGGTGACAGTTTTGGTATAGGTTTTTTAATATGCAGGGCAAATAAATAGATTTATGAGCTAATCTTGCCTGGTATAAATAATCCTTAATGCCTTTACTTCAATTCAACATCACAGTGATTGAAGATTTCAAAAATCCTTCTCAGAAGATATAGCCTGGATGTATTCTTCAGCTATTCCTTCCTTGTTGGAGGAATCCTTAATTTCATCCTTCTCCTGAATGGATGAGTTGTGGGATTCAATTGCCCTGATGCAATTGTTTGGGCATTGACAGCTTTGATGTCTGGGTTTGTGGCATCTGAAACATAACTTCTTCTCTATGTGCTCCTTGTGATCTTTATCTGACAGATGTCTAATCCGCTGATCGTTAGATGATACTTCCTTTGATGATCCATCCCTGGTTTCAATTGCCCAGTTGCAACGTATAAATTTGTTACGACCAAAAGAGTGGTTGGTAGATGGCATGAATAAAGGTTTATTACCAAAGATGTTGACCATGGATTGGTAGATAGATTGGATGCTGTTGAGGTATCCCACTGCAGTGACTGGTAGTGGCGGTTGGGCGGCAATCTTGATCAAGAGGGCAGGAGGAATAAGATGCTGGAGTTCTCGTATTTGCCCTAATTTGTTTAATCCACTGGCTTGTAGGAGAGGTTGAAGAGTAGTGACAAATCGAAGACTGTTTCCTCCACACTTTGCCCAGGTGCATTTGCTGATTTCATTCAATACTGCCTGAGTATCGTCTTCTACTCCAAAGGTCTAGATGAAGGATTTCCTAAAGTTAGCCCAGCTAGGTAATCCTTTGAGTAGCGCATCTTCGGAGTCAGAGATGGGTTCTTGTGCATCATTGATGATTGTGTGAACAAAGAATTGAGTGGGTCCTTTGATATATGAAAGGGCACATTGAACCTTATCCTTATCGGTCTGGATCTTCTTGGAATTCCCTTCAAAGTACAGATATACTTCATCCAGGAATTCCTTACTCTTTCCTTTGTCTCCTTTGAATTGGTTGGGTTTGTTTACTGCTCCACTGTTGTTGTCAGACATGTCTCCTTCTTCTTGATTGCTGGGTTCTGGGTCTCTGTCTTCTGGATTGTTTGGATACTTATTGGGAGAATCTTCTTCTGGGTTAGGATCAACTGGAGATCTGGGCAGTTCTGGTTTGGGTTCTGTTGGAACAGGTACTGGGTGTTGTTCCTCTACTGGGACTGGTGGGTTGACTGGCTCAGGTGAGTCAAAGATTCCTGAAAAGAAACTGGGTCTGACTGTGGGGCTAGTGTCTGTTGATTTACTTGGCAAGGGTTTGGTGGTTAACTGGAGTGGCGATGTGCGAGGTGTAGGAGCTACTACATGTTAAGGGACCTAATGACTGGGGATCAGGAGTTCAACTGAGAACTGGGACTGACACTATTGCGCGTGGGGCTGATGTGCTGTACTTGAGACTAGACTTTGAGTAGACTGAGCCGCTATAGCTGATAGCGGTTTGAGAGCGCAAACTGAGTGAAGCTAGAGTGCAGACTAGAACTGGAATAGACAGCTGGGTCTATTACTGAGGGTCTCCCTATGAAGGTACATAGGGAACAAGAGGACAAAACTAAAGTATAGTAGTGCAAGCAGTACTACTTAAATAATGGAT